CAGCCCTGATGTAAATACCAGGCTCCTCATCTCCCCCAAGCCCCCCAAAACCACAAGCACCAGTGATTGTAACCCAGAAGCCCCCCAATTTCTTCCAGGTAGCTCTTAATACTGTTGGTCCCGATCATTAAATCATCTGACTTGTATGTCAGGGAATCATCAGGAAAGATTCACTGGGTACTACTTGGGAGTTTCCCCTCAAAAAAAACAAATTAATAAACCAAATATATTTTTTAAATTTTCCTCCGTCCCTCTCAGAGAGCCTGGCAAGCTATCGAGAGTATCTCACCCGCACAGCAAAGCTTGGCAAGTTACCCGGCACGTACTGGATATGCCAAACACAGTAACAAGTGTCACTATGGAGACGTTACTGGGCCCGCTCTAGCAAATCGATGAACAATGGGAGGACAGTGACAGTGATCTTTCAAATCCCTCCCTGACACTGGTTGTATCTGTATCAAAAAGCCCGTAACAGTATATAACATTCAACAAATAAACTTCGTTATTGTGTTCACCATTCATTTGATTCCCAAGGTTAATAAGGTATCATCCAAAATATCCAGTTAGAAAGGTGGAAATGAAAGTTACCGCAGCTAACATGCCTTTCACTGAAGTAACATCCCAAAGGAATAGTGATCCTTTTTGTTTATTCCCGAGAAAGGCCAAGGCAAAGAACCCTTTCCTGGAGTCCCTTTCAGGGCTTAGCAGGAGTGAGAAAACAATCCCCGGTGTGGAACAACTGTCCAGAAATTGTTAAAGAAACATCGAGACCCCAGCTTGACGCCCTCCAAGAAGCAGAGTGAACAGACTGATGCGCGTCAATGGAGAAACGTGAGCAGGAAAGCCTGCACTTAAGTTTCATTTAACTGAAAAATGGGTTTGTGTTAAGTGAGGAAGAAACACTTTGAAGGGCAAAGTAGTGGGCGAGAGGCTTTAGGGGAGCACAAGGCTTGAAATTTCAAAACTGGCTTGAAAGTGGCTATTGTGTAATCAAGGGAAAAACAAATAAATCAAAATGAAGTGAATGGGGAAAGTGGTTCAGCATGGAGCACTGTCTGCTCAGGACAGGCTCTGATTTGAACATTACGCCATGGAGTGTTCACCAAAAATATTCTTTTCCCTTTCATGGAGAAAGGAAAAAGAGTTAATTATTCAAATCATTCATCCATGAATAGAAGCCACAAAATCCCAAACCCAGTGTCTGGGACTGAAAGAAAGTTCCTGGCTTAGAACAAAGTCTATTTACTTGACTTTTACCAAAATATTGTTGTCTACGGTGCTTTCATCATAGTATTACACCTTAACTTTCCTGAGACTGCTTGAAGATGCATAGGCACATTTGTGTGTGTGTGTGTGTGTGTGTGTGTGTGTGTGTGTGTGAAGTTACAATACAGAGGCAGCTAGCATGTCGCCTGCAAAGCCACCAGCAGCATCTCAGAAATCCTGCAGGCATATTCCGTGGTTCACGCCAGGCTAGGTGCTATTTATTCTGCTTACCAACAGACTGTAGGCCACCTGGGGTTTTCTTTGGTGAAATCAGTGCTCTCTTAATTAGCTTAAAGATGAGGAAGGAATTAGAAAAGGGATATCCACAATGCAGATGAGGCAAGGCAGTTAAGTAAAGCAACTTTTAGAAGCAGACACCCTAGTCGGTGGAAAGAAGCTGCAAGTCTGGGGAAGACCAGAAAGCAGAAAAGAAGACAATGCTGGAATTTGGATCCTACAGTGATCCAGAGCTAGCTAATAGCTTCAACTGTTTTCTCTTGCCAGCTCGGAGTATAGCTGAATTCTAGAATATTTATACAGTGGAAGAGGGCCATAGAGTTCTGAGGAGAGCATTTTGTTCATGGCATAGTAAGTTAGAGCGGGAGAGAGAGTGTGTGTGTGAGAGAGAGATTGAGTTTACATAAGTTTGTATGAACAGTGTTATGACAGTGAACTCATGGAAGGTTTTAATTAAATTAAATTAAAGCAATAAAGGCTTCTGCATCAGACTTTGCTCTGTGACTTCCTTTCACTGCCCCAACAAAACACAAATCTAGGAGAGTAATTCACCTCCAAACCTCAGTTTACAGTAGTCAACGAAGTTTGAAAGACATGTGTCTGTTGGCTAAGTCCTTTATAATTCTGCTACTCCGTCATTCACAGCAGAATTGAAGTTTAATATAGTTCAGTTTCTCAACATTCTGCATCTTAAGCTATAAGTGGGTTCGGAGACTCTGAATCACATGGGTCCCTGTTTTGATTTCGATGTGTACTGAGAATTTGGCCAAAGGCAGTATAACCAACAAAGCACTGTAACCATTTGCCGATTGGGTTTCCTGTGGCACAATAAAGAAGGAAGAGATAACAGACTCCCAACCAAAGTCTTTGAAAACCAGGGGCTATAAAATAATAGCAATTTATGCACTGCAAACCTTTCCCATTTCAGATACTCTTTGCCATAAATTTGCAGTTATAGCTTTTTGCCTACCCAGCTAAGTGGAAAAAGACCAATACTGGTCTTAGGGGCTCAACAAGATCCTTCACAGTCAAGACAGCTCACTGTCATTTGGATGAATAGAGCTTAGAAATAGCTTGACAACTGATGATTGTCATACTATGATAGCAATGAAGCTATTGGCCAAGAGCCATCCATTAAATGTATTTAAGTGGAAAACTTGTCTGGCCTTGTACTGCTTTCTCTTCAACCAGCAAGTTCCAATTTATTCACTCATAAGCTATCGTGTCTGATTTTCATCTGCTCATCAAATATTTATGGAGAACACTTTAAAAACCATGTAGTTTTAACTTACAAAAATAGCATGGAAGATTAAAGGAGCAGAGGTCTAATTTGGGAACTTGTGTCTCTGAGTTTCACTAATCATCATAGCATGACACCAGGAGCAGAAACATATGGTGTAAGAGCTAGAATTTAGATGTTTCTTATGACCTCACTAAGGATCCCAGGACTTCTATTAACTCTTTTAGACAATTGGATTTAAAATTCTACGTTGACTATTCTTTTAGCATTTACAAATTCAATGTAAATATTTATTGATAATCAAGTATCCAGGATTTTTGTTTGCTTGTTTGTTGTTTTGGGACCACATATGGTGGTACTCAAGGATTACTCCTGGCTCTGTGTCCAGGGATCACTCCGGGCTCTATGCTCAGGATTCACTCCTGGTGGGCACTAGCATTTAGAAAACTTTATTGGACCTTAGAGCAAAGAGTAAGGCAGGTTTCTTAAACTTTTCCCATTCTTAATCTCTTTTGCTGAAAAATGCAACATGAGCCAGCATGGCCAGGATCACCTCAGCTTTATTATGTGTTTGAGTTTGAATTAGTTTTCGATAGTTCTTTTAACAAACTTTTAACAAACATTGCAAAATTTTTTGCAATATGCACATCCGATTTGGTGACCTCAAATGGGGGTTACGATTCAGAGTTGGAGAAGCTAGACAATAGAGAACAAGATATATAGGATGTCTGCTTTCAAGTGGGCATATGTAAATATTGTACAGTGAAATGCATATAAATAGCTGTAGGCACAAGCTAATTGACATACAAAGTTAACAGTTATATTTTCAGAAGCAAACCTACGCAAACCTATTGTTTTAAATTTTAAGTAGAAGTCTTTCTAAGGAAATAAGGTACGTTTTATGATTTTATATTACATAGGAGAAATAATTTACTAGAGATTTGTAGATCTAAACAACATACCTGGTACTTTGATAAAAGGGTTTCCAACATTATACTACTAATAAAAGAGAAATGATATCAAATTGGAAAATATACCATTATATATTATAACACACTTGCCAATATATTAGAATGCATTAAGAGAAACTTTCACTTCACTATTTTTTGGTTACTTAAAAATCAAGGTATGTGCGGTTGGATGACTGCTTAATATATAATGTACCCTGTGTAAGGAATTTCTGATAGTGGTTGCCAAATACCCATCTCTTCATCCTTATCTTGAAATGTGGACTTGATTTCATGACTCATTTCAAACTGAATATGACAGAAGTGATAGGATATACTGTAGCTAAGATACAATGACCAATAATTCAGGCTTCCATCTTGTATAATATCTCTTGCTGAATGGCTTCTGTATCCCCTTCCCTTCTCGCCCCTTCTCTGCGCCCCTGCCCTAACCCCTTGCATTCCCAGTAGCCTTATCTCCTATAGAGAAGACCACTTGAAGAAGAAAGGCTCTGAGGGGTCTCAGCTGCACAGACTAATCAATGTTCCTGGACAGCTGCCGGCACCAGCTGTTCATCAATTGTGTATAAGCTTCTGGGAATTGACCCTGTAAGGTCTTCAATGTCTAGATCCTACCCAACTATGTGACTCTCATCCTGAGAAACCCCAAGTCACCAGTCAGCCATTTCTGCATCATAAGCTTACCCATTCCTGAATATCTGATCTAAAGCACTGTGCCCCAAAGTGGGTGATACTACCTCCATCTGGGGAGGGTTCTGGATCAATCCTAGAAGATTCAGCAAGTTCTTGGGTGGAATTGGTGGAATGGGGTTCTCTATTAAAATCTTCTCTTAAAGAAGGTAGATTTTCTGGAAATTAATGAACAATGTTTTTTTCTAAAAAGAGAGTGGGTGGGAGAAATAATTTTGGAAACCCCTTAAAGTAACTGTTAAGCAATGAATGTTGTTTGATGTCCTAAGGTTTGGTCTAATTAGTTTGATAGCAATAGGTGATGAATGCATAATACATAAGGAAGTGCCTCTTGAGTATACTAGTGCAAGAAATAATGAATTCAGCACTCGTTTTATACTTTTAATATTTCGAATTCGATTTAAGAATTTGGTGATATATTAACACCTTTGCCATGAAGACACAAATTTGCTACTAATCTTTTACTCAAGAGATCACAGAGTTCTTTCCTAAGATCTACTGAATTCATTAAATCAAATGCAAATACTTCATTATCAATCGACAGTGACATTGTATTACTAGAAATATATTAGTTAAGTTTTTAAAAATGATAACCTTACCTCCGAAAAAGTACTTTTCTCCAGTTTTAACTTGAAGAGGACTGTTTGTCCGAACTGCTGAAGCTTCATCCCCATCAATGGTGAGGATAGCGAAATTCTCCTTCGCTAGAAATCGAACCTCGTGCCACTGTCCATCATTCAACCCAGAACCTGGTAAGTACAAAATAGAGGTAGATTTTTTTTTCTTAATATAATATGTTTACACAGTTTTTAATATCAGCGGTCAGAACTTTACAAGTGAAAAACCACATTGGCATATAAATTTTTTACAAATTAAGAACAAAAGAAAAACCGTGTAGATGCATTTACATACACAGTTGAATCAATAAAAAACGTGAGAAATAATATCAAAATTATCAACGCATTATAAAGAATACATTTTATAATAAACAGTGCTGCATTTAGACAAAAGCCAATAGAATAAATCCACAAATGCCACCACTAGTTATCATACCTCATCGGTGCTCATTAGCAAGTTCTTTGGGAATTATAAATCAATGAAACACTTGATTTGACAAGCCAAAGTTAACAGTTTCTGTTTGGTTAGTGTTAATTTTATAAAAAAAATTAGAAAATTAAAGAGCAAATAGAAAAGAGTAGTCGTGAAATATTACACAGCTGGAAAGAGTATAAGAAAGAGTGAAGTCTATAAAGGTCAGAGTGACTTTCTTTTATATTAGAACAAAGGCCTATGCTTTGGAAAATGGGAACTTCAGTTAATTCCAAATAATATAATCTCAAACCAAGAGGAAAAGCAACTTGAGAATATACTTCAACTTCAGAAAAGACAGAGAAATCTAGTTAGTAAATTAAAAGACAAAACCAACTACAACCTTTCTTCAACTACCAATAAAACACAAATGAATGCAAACCGATCTGTGAGTTTCCATTCCTGAATTACTTCTCAAATAGATTGCTTTTGGATGCTCCTACAGAATGGGTCCTAGATGACCATACCATCACCATGACATTTTTCACTGAAGTTCAAAACTAAGCTTATGTTGATTCACCATGAATGCTTCGTTTTGATTTTGTTTTTAGTTTTTGGGATACCTTATGTGATGTTAATAGATTACTCCTGTCGCTGTGTGACAGGATGAAGGAGTGGAATTTGAAGGACCATAGATGGTGCCAGGAATCAATAGAATTGATTTGAGCTTTTGGTTTTTGTGTCTTGAAAAGTCTGATTTTGAAATTCATTTTAAGGCATCTATCCCAAAGACATTAATATTACAAATGTTCAAATCCAAACTATAATATTTCCTACCAAAGTAATTACCAAAGAAATCAATTTTATGATATTTTCAATTGATGAATCTGTCTCTTCTAAATAGTACATCAGGAAGTTTTTTCAAGTTGTCCTACATAAAATTATTTTTCCATCAAAAATTAATTTATAAAATGGAACATAATTAGTTTAATTGTTCCTAGCAAAAGGTCTTTTATTCCAATCAGATTAAAATGAAAAGGTTACTTAATTTTCCCCAAAAGTTAATTACTAGAGGAATTGGACCTCAGATAAAAGCTGCCTTATTGGTAGCAGCCACTGCTGTGTCTGAGCTCAAACTGTGATCTCTAGTCACTTTTTAATTCCAATTAGTAATTTGAAAGTTTAATTTTAATCATCAAGGGGCATACCTCAGCAATAAATGATGGGAATGAGCACCCTATCCTACCAGTGGCAAGGAGTTTATTCTTCAGTGGCTCATGAATAATCCAATTGCTTTAAAAGGGCTATTTTTTTAAATTTTTATCCACATATTATAAAAAATGTACCCCATGAAATACATAAATATTTATACTCCTATAAACCAACATTACCTTAATAAATTTAAAAAATAGATCCATATATATAGGATGTACATAAAAGCACCATCAAGAGTGATCCCCAGATTCAGAAAGCCAATATCACGACAATAGGACAAATACTAGAAGTAAATATTGCCTATAATAAATGTCAATAAATAATTTAAAATAAATACCTATACATTGATTCAGAAAAATTTTATTATTCTTTTCAGTTTTAGAAAAAAATTGTGTTGTCATAAATCACAAGAACAGGTTACCAAACAGGATTAAAATAGCACTTCTGGGGAGCAGAATGATAGTACAACAGGTAGGGTTCTTGCCTTGCATGCAGTTAACCTGGGTTCAATCCCCAGTACCTCATATGGTTCCCCTGAGCACAGAGCAGGAATAAACCCTGGACACTGAGTGGTGTGCCCCCTCCCCCCCAAACAGAAAACAACAACAAGAATAAAATAACACTTTTGATTTGCCACTAGATGCTGTCCTGTCATTTACTGTAAGAGACCAATGTTTCCTCGTCTGACAACTATGGGAGAACCACACACAGGTAGTAACTACATGTACCGAATGAGTTATTACTGTGAGTCTTCTAAGTAGTGGGGTGGGGATCAGTAAAGCTAACTAATGGAAAGAATCCATTTTGCTATTTCTGTTGTAAGCCTGGGTAGTTTACTCTACCTTGACTTATCTGCTCGAAAATGCGAATAGAATTACCCACTTTACACCTTTGTTCTGAGAAGCCAATGAATTAGTAATATTACAGCTCTGTAACAGAGAGCTATAATAACATTCTGCACCTCAGAAACAATATATCTTTACCACTAGATCAAAAATCATGGAAGTTTTTCTTGGTTTCATCATATACAGAAGACAGCTAAAACTTCTTACAACTTTTTTCTTTGTGGGTTATTATCTCATAGCAATGAACATTGGTATAGCTGTAAATAAACTTTCTGAACAAACAAGGATGGAAGTTTAAGTAATAAGATCATGAATATATTTTTATGTGTGATGTCCTAGTTTAATTCTCAACATTAACTGTATCTCCAAGCACCACTAGAAGTGACTCATGAGCAATAAACCAGGAGCATACCACCTCTCCCCTCCCACCCCAAGAACAGTTAGAAATTAGAGAATTTGGAAATTATTTCCAAAAAGTGAGCATGTTTAATTAACTTTCTAAATTATGTGTGCATATTATAGTTAAAACATATAATAAGTAGATATTATAGGTAGTTTCACCCATAGAAACTGAAGTATATATATGTATATGTATATACACATATTCTACATATATGCTATATGTTATATACACATACGTATTTACATGCTGTATGTTATATATTTAAGTTTATAGGATTCTCTAATTTCTTCACCTCTCAGTTTAACATCATTATTTTTGTGAGAAGGGCTGGAGCAATAGCACAGCAGGTAGGATGTTTGCCTTGCATGCAGCCAACAGGGGTTCGATTCCTTCACCCCTCTCGGAGAGCCCGGCAAGCTACTGAGAGTATCCTGCCCGCACAGCAGAGCCTGGCAAGCTCCCCGTGGCATATACGTATTTACATGTTGTATGTTATATTATATATTTAAGTTTATAGGATCCAGGAACACTAGTGGAGGGAAGTTGACACTGCTGTTGGGATTGTAGCTGTCATATTGTATGTCTAAAACTCAACTATGAATAATTTTGTAAATTTGGTACTTTGATAAAATAAAAATATATATTTTGAACTAAATTCATTTAGCTACCGAGAGTATCTCGCCCGCACAGCAGAGCCTGGCAAGCTCCCTGTGACGTATTCGATATGCCAAACACAGTAACAACAAGGACTCCAATGGAGACGTTACTGGGCCTGCTTGAGCAAATCGACGAACAACGGGAGGGCCTTTACCTTTACCTTTTAATATCATCTAAAGAAAATGCTCTTAATTGTCTTGTGGAAACATAAGGGTTCACCTTAAGTTAGGGATCTAGGGAGGCCCACAATGATGCTCTCTTCAGAGACTGAAAGAGTATTTGTATCAAGGGTGTCTAACTTATAGAACCACCTTCAGAGAGGTAAAGTACATGTCAGTGGTAAGGAAATTTGGGAAAGTAACTAACACACTTCTTGATGATATTAGGGTCAACGGTTTTTAAATCAACCTTTAGCTATACAATAAACTACATGGAATATATAACCCTCCACTATACAACTCTAGATATACTATATTTTCCTTTAAGGTAATATCTAACATTGATTTTAATTATAATGTTGAGGGGCTTGGGGACACACTTGGCAGTGCTCAGGGATTACTTCTGGCTGTGCTTATGGGACCATGCCAGGCTGGGGATCAAAGCAAGGTCAGCCGTATATAAGACAAGTGCTTACCCCTATACAATATTTCAGTCTGCAAATTAAAAATATATAGATATAGGTATACAAGTATGGGCTTTGGGGGCCACAACCAACTTCTCAGGAATCACTCAAGGCAAGCTTGGAGAACCACATGGATTGTTAAAGATCAAACTCTGGTGGGTTATGTGCAAGAAAAAGTCCTTACCCACAGCACTATCTCTCAGGCCCCAATATTTTAAATTATATTTTTCAATGACATGATGAATGACCTGGCACCTGAGTTACGCAGGAGGAAGAGAGCGGCTTGGAATGCCTTTAAGAGCGTTGAAGAAATAACTAAGAGGACAAAGAACCTCCAGCTACGAGCACATCTCTTTGATTCCACTATTTTTTCTGCATTAACATATGCCTCAGAGACCTGGGCCCCACGAAAACAGGATGAGAACGCTATTCGGGTCTCTCAAAGAGGAATCGAAAGAGCTATGCTTGGAATATCACGCCTCAGTCAAATGAGAGATAGAATCTGGAGTTCTGATCTCCGTCAATGCTCAAGAATCAGGGACGCTGTCTCATTTGCCAAGGCATCAAAAATCAGATGGGCTGGACACGTAATGAGGTTTACAGACAACCGCTGGACTAGAGCCATTACTGGTTGGATTCCATGGGACATCAAAAGATCACGTGGACGCCCACCTACAAGATGTTCAGACTTCTTCGTCAAGACCCTGAATGATCGGTTTGAGGCTCTGCATGTTCCTAGAACGAACAGATGCCATTGGGCTATGCTAGCACGCAACGGGGATGAATCGAGATGTTACTGGTACCCGCTCGAGTAAATCGATGAATAACGGGGGATCACGTGATCAAGTGATTATTCAATAGATGCAGTTCATAATGTCTATGAAATATTTTCAATTCCAAGCAAAGACATTCTGTGAGAACTAATTTTGAGGAGTCTGATTAGAGTACATATTTTTAAAGTGTTTTTATTTGAACAAA